ATCATTCTCTTCATCATCTTGCACTTGTTCTGCTGATGATAGTGCTTGTAGCAGCGCAGCTGCCAAAAAGGTCTGTCAATTTGCGACATTTATATGCTTCACCTGCGAGTGACTTCACCTTTTTTTTCTCTTGCCTTCTCAGCCCCTCTTTTCGTTTTCTCTGATTTTTATCCATGTTTTTTCATTCTCCCTGTCTGCCACGGCGTCTACCCTGCTGAAAAAAACAGCGTCGACCAACTTAGCTGGTCAGGCTGGTCAACCAACCTGACCAACTGAGTTGACCAGACTGGCTGGTTTAGAGGGGTTTTGGACACTTTAGCTGGCCAGGATGGCTGGTTCAGCTGGTGCACCAGCTAAACCAGCTGAACCAGCTAAACCAGCTGAACCAGCTAAACCAGCTAAACCAGCTAAACCAGCCATCCTGGCCAGCTAAAAAAAACAGCATCCATCTATCACCAGTTTATGTTTAATAAATAATAGTATTAAATATACCATGCTGGAAGCTATACCAGGATTCCAGGTGACCAGCATACATTGTTTAAATACTGGTATGATTATTTAAACTAGAGAACATAAATATATTACAAAGATTCATTGTGTCATGTATTCTGGTATCTACAAAAATAAAGACATTGTATAGTGTTCATAACAGTATTTTATAAATAGCAATAAATAGTAGTTAATATAATAAAATACACAGTAACAATACAAATAACAACCAACCTGCAAATCAACCTCAAAATAAATATATTATCTAAAACAGGTGGATTTGATTTAAAATAAAAGTAATAAATAGAATTCAATATTTAAATGGTAACGAAAACACTAACACTATGAGAAAAAGGCCGTCAGCGCAACTTAAATGATGACGTTAAACCATTTTTTTAAAGGGCCGGCCGGCCGTCAACGGCCCTTGAGGACCGGCCGTTCTGTGGTTCTCCAGATTCTACAGATGGCCAGTCCGCCCCTGGTTCTGGCCAAGGTTCTTGAAAGCCTAGTGAGTGAGCAGGTAAAGGTGTTTTTATTAGGGCTGTGTATTTTTTGTCCTCGGCCGCCCCGTAGTTTCAGAGCGCATCGAGTTTAAAATACCATCTACAAGCTGATGCTGACAGCCCCGCTCCTACCGCCCGCTTGTGGCAGACCACACTTCCACGCTCACCGGCAGGCCCGGACTGACCATCGGGAGGACCGGGAGGGTGGTATGTGTGGGGTGAGCAAGGCACACCTTACGTGTTGTTGTTGTTGTTAGCATCTGGTGCTAGCTAGCTGCGCTAACGGATATAAGGAGCTGTTTCAATGAAAACAGAGGAGCGACATTTCGCCGACAACTGCGCCGAGCACTTGACTTTATGCAGGTAGCCAGACAGTGGGACATTGTACGAAAAGTCAGCACACTCAGCACGGATAGTGCCCGCAACATGATTGCAGCGTCCAGGCAGCTCCCGTTCGAGCATATATGCCTTGAGCTGCACATAGCTCCAACGATCCATCACAGTCTCTCCACACACACACACACACACACACACACACACACACACACACACACACACACACACACACACACACACACACACACACACACACACACACACACACACACACACACACACACACACACACACACACACACTTTGTATTGTATGAGAGAGGTTCTAGGTTGAATTGAGGCGAATATTTGTAATGTTCAGAGGTTGTTGTGTTTAATATTCATTAGAATATTTGTCATTGTTCAAATGATAATAAACAAACATATAAAGCATATTTGTCCACTCATATGTTGATAAGAGTATTAAAAACTTGAAAAATATCCCTCTAAGGTACATTTAGAACAGATACAAAATGTGCGATTCATTTGCGATTAATCGCGATTAACTATGGACAATCATGCGATTAAATATTTTAATCGACTGACAGCTCTAGTTTTTATGTAACAATGACATCCTGTCTAAACATCAGTCAGGCTTCAGAAAGCAACATAGCACCATCACTGCCACAATGAAAGTGGTAAATGATATTACGAGTATTTTAGATAATAAGCAGAGTTGTGCAGCTCTATTTGTTGACCTATCCAAAGCGTTTGATACCGTCGATCATCGCATCTTGAAGCAGAGGCTAGTCAGTATTGGCTTATCCTGCCATGCAGTGGGGTGGTTTGTGAACTACCTCTCTGAAAGGTCCCAATGTGTTCACTTTGATGGGCTGTCTTCTGAATGGTTAAACATCACTAATGGTGTACCACAAGGTTCAGTTTTAGGTCCGCTATTATTCTCTATCTATATTAATAGTTTAGGTGAAAATGTCGAAGGAGCAACCTTACATTTTTATGCGGACGATACCGTTATGTACTGTGCAGGTCCCTCGATTAACGAGGCTGTTGTTAAATTACAGGCTGTTTTTAACATTATTCAGGCTCAGCTCTCTGAGTTTAAGCTTCTTTTAAATGTGGATAAAACCAAGGTAATGCTCTTTTCTAAAGCTAAAAATACACCAGAGACTGCTTTGGATATTGTAACTACGCAAGGAATACAACTTGAAGTGGTTGCCTGTTACAAATACCTGGGTATCTGGCTTGATGACTGTCTCACTTTTAAATTTCATGTAAATAACCTGCTTAAACTGAGGGTTAGGCTAGGTTTCTTTTACAGAAATAAGTCCTGTTTCTCGCTTGAGGCCAGAAAAAGGCTAGTCACTGTGACCTTTTTACCTGTGCTGGACTATGGTGATTTGTTATATATGAATGCACCTGCCAATTACCTGAGCAAGTTAGATGCTGCGTATCACAGTGCACTGAGATTTTTGACAAATTGTAAAGCACTTACGCATCACTGTACACTGTATACCAAGGCGGTTTTGCCATCACTTACTGTACGGAGGCTCAGTCACTGGTACATTTTCATTTACAAAGCCATGTTGGATAAACTACCATCTTATATCTGCTCCCTGATCTCTCGGCGAATTGAAAGTAGTTATTGCCTGAGATCGCATGCTGTGGTTTTATTAAATGTGCCAAGTGCTAGGACTGTCTTAGGGAAGAAAGCTTTTAGATGTGCAGCTCCACTAACTTGGAACAGTCTGCAAAAAGAATGGAAAATTAGTAATCTGGTACCACTACATGTTTTTAAAGCTCGGTTGGATGCTACACAATCAGATGCTGTTGGTACCTGTACATGTGGATAGATATGCAAATTGTAATCCCATTGTAATTTTTGCTGTATGATGTCCTTTTGTTGTTCTGTTGTTTATGTTTTTATGTCTTCATGTGGAACCTACTGCTGCAGGTCTCCCTTGAAAAAGAGATCAATGATCTCAATGGGATTTCACCTGGATAAATAAAGGTTTTTGAATTTAGACCATCTGCTGTCATGTCCACATTTAACACACAAAACACAAAACAACAACACAGATTCGTTCATCAGGGCTCTCTGATGCTCACGGTCAGGTCATTCTTTTGATAGGAGCCATCGTTTTTTAACAGGAGGCAAAATTGTCAGATATAATCCTCAATGCATTCTGAATGAGCCACCCTCTGCTGCTGCAGGTGACCGCGGTAACCTAGTTACTACTTATACAACTACTACTACTACTACTACTCCAACTACTACTACTACTACTAGTACTTATACTACTAACACCACTTCTACTCATACAACTACTACTACAACTACTAATACAACTACTACTAGTACACCTACTTATACTACTACTACTACAGCTACTACCACTACTGCTACTGCTACTACTACTAGTACAGCTACTACTACTACTGCTACTATTATTACTACTTCTAATACAACTTCAACTGCTACTACTACTACTACTACTACTACTACTACTACTTAAGCTACTACTACTACTACTTGTACTTACAGTATACTAATACGTATATTTGATATCTTACTCCTTCAGCCTACTTTCAGCTACAGAAACAAATGTACACAGTTTACAGCATTCACACGCATTTTCAGCAGGAAATGCATTCTCTAGTTTGCAGTATAAATCTTGCATTCATTTACCAAAGTAAAAGTACATAAGCATACAACTAGAAAAAACAACAGTATACTGTATTTCTCTTTAAGTTTACATGAACGCAGCATTTTAGTTGTAGCCGGTTGGGTACAATCTGCAACAATGCGTACATTTCTTGGACATTATTACATGTTTTGGATGTTTAATCTTAATCTGTGAAGTAACTGTAGTTGTCATTTTCATGTAGTACATTAAAGAGTACAATGTGCTTACTCTACACGATACTATACTATTTCCTACTGAAATGTAGTGAAGGAGAAGTATTACGCTACAATATAAAATGGAAAATACTTAAAGGGACCCTATTATGCATTTTTGGGGTTTTATTCAGGTTTGTGTTCACTCCAGAGGGAGTTTCTCTCCCACACCCTCCCCCCCTGCCTGAAACGCATCCATTGCACTCCTTTGTTTACTTCCGTTACATAATGACATCACTACCTAGCACTCACTCTTTTATTGGCTAGCACTCCAACAAATTGTAAGTGATAGGCTAAGTGGTGGGACAGCACTAAGCGGTTGACCAATCAAAGCCTAGCTGGCCAGCTCAGCAATCAGAGCAGACTGGGCTCTGGTTTCAGACAGAGGGTGAAAAGAGGTGCTTTTTGAACATTAAAGCATGGAAACATGTCACTGTAGAAGCACAAGTTTAAAATATGAACCTTATAAATGCACATAATAGGGACTCTTGAAGTAAAGTCCTTTTTGTCATGGCCACAGTCAATCATGTGAAGTCTAAACGTCATCACAGTTACACCATTGATGTCTGCTGCTAGCTGCTGGATTAGATTAGCTTTACAGTAAATTATTAGATCAAGCTATTATTGTGTGTGTGTGTGAGTGGCGAGTCAGGACATGTGAGGGCAAATTGAGGACACATGTTCTTATGTAATAGCACATTTGTAGGAGGTACACCTACAACATATAGCCTCTGTTATTGGCCTTGCTGACAGCTGTGTTGTGTTTTGTGGATCCAGATGTGGAGTTCCTGCGCTCAGTCCTGCCCCCGGCCACAGACCCTGCCTTCTTCCAGTTCCTGCGAGGCCTGGACTGCTCTGGCGTCACGCTCCGTGCCATCCCAGAGGGCACTGTGGTGTTTGCGAGGGTGAGCTGCAGCTTTTCAGGGTGCAACTGAAGGTCAAAAGTTAAATACAGGATTCTGGAGGGGGTCAGAGGGAGTAAGTTTTCCCTTATGTTAAAAACATCTGCAGGTGCCTCTGATGGAGGTAGCAGGTCCGCTCGCTGTTGTTCAACTGCTGGAGACTAGTCTATTGTGTCTGGTCAACTACGCCAGGTAAGAACGTCTCTCTTAACACACACAGAAAAAACAGTTGCTCCTCTAGAAATAATGTATATACAAAATGGTTGAATAGGGAGCATATCAACATATAGTTAACCATTACAAACCTATGTGTGTGTATTTGTAGGGCTGCAAACTGTAAATTACTCTAAATATTTTTTAATCCATGGGGTGTCAAACTCATTTTAGCTCATGTGCCAAATCCTAACCAATTAGAATTCAGGTGGGAAAGACCAGTAAACCATTTTTTTATATAAACCTAGAATTAACAACACCACAAAATGTGTCTTTTATTTTGTAGTAGTTTAACCTGTTAAGCCCGAGAGACCCCGGTACCGGGGCACTCCCGCAACATCTTGCAGGAAACAGTGTCTGAGGGCATGTTCATTTAATAAACTATGAATGTTTTATATCCATGTAACGGGAAGAAACTCATCTAACTGATCATTTTAATTTATTTTTCAAAATAAAACCCACAATGCTAACGCTGAGCCTCTGAATTAGCAACGAGCTAAAATAACTGGATGGCCTACCTGCCTGTCAGCCTTCCATCTGTGCACAAACTTATCTCGTGCCCTCATTGGTCATGTGCGCGTTCGTGTGTGTTGGAGGAGGGGCTCTGTAAGGAAGTGGGAGATTTTTTCCGGCTGTGTATTTTCAAATTTTAGCGCACTCGAGCTGGTTTCTCCAAAATTACCCACCCCACCTTTAATAACCAATTAAAAATTTTGATTGAACCAAATGGAAAATATATATATATATATATATATTAGGGCGTATATATATTAGTGGTGTTTTTTTTTAACGGCACTAATTATTTTAACGTGCGATTAACGCATTTGTATTTGTCCTCTGGCCGCCCCGTAGTTTCAGAGCCCAAAGGCTTGACGTTGTTCTATTTCGTATATGGCTTAGCCCTCTAAGGCTATCGCTATTGTATAATCCCCAGGGCAGCATGTCAGCTGGCTCCAGCCTGCTGAGCGCCCCCAGCGGCAGCGCCCGCAGCACCCGCCACGGCGTCAGGGCTCGCTGCAGAAGCCTGCTGGTTTTAACCTATCGGTTAATAAACTGCAGAGCTCGCTAATTAAGCCGGCTGCCACTAATCTGTTGATTAGTAGACAGCAGGGCTCGCTGCAGAAGCCTGCCGGTTTTAACCTTGGTTAATAACCTGCAGAGCTCGCGGCATTCCTCTGTCCGAGATACGCCTCCTACACACAGTCATAATAAACCTCATCATGTGGACAGCACTGCACACACCTCCATTCATCCCCTGAGCGTGTAGCGCCTCATGATGAGAGCCGGAGTGAAATGCAGCGTGGGGAGGCTCCCTCGCAGCCCTTTCGCCTCACGGGCAGCGGCGGCGAGGGCAATGGCGTGGCTCGTCACCATGACGACCATTACAGCACATCACAGAGAAGCCAGAACGGGGGAATGAGACCCATCCTTGATCTGTCAGTATTCCACATGCTGACGATCAAACAGGTGCTGGAATGTGTTCACCAGGTCGACTGGTTCACTTCCATAGACCTGAAGCCTGCACATAGGCCTACTTCCATGTAGCCTACCCATCATCCCGAAACACAGGAAATCCCTGCGTTTCTCTTTTCAGGGAATATCAGACCAGACAATCGTCTGCCGTTCAGATATTCCCTGGCTCCTCGCACATTTTCAAAGTGTGTAGAGAAGGCTGGAGCCACTACACAGAGGAGGGATGAGAGTGTGGTTCTGGATCTGGACGACCTGCTATTGCGGGCTCGCTCCAGGGAGGAAGTTGCTTACAGACGGTACATCTTGTATCGCATCTGTCAAGCCTGGGTTTTTTCATACATTGGAAGAAGATCTGTCCTCTTCCCTCCCAGACAATCATTTATCTGGGAGTGGAATTAAACTCAGCCAGCAGGAGAGTGCGGCTCTCGCGGTTCTCGCGGCAGAGAGTGGAGAAACTGACAGCTTTCCTCCGGCGTGTCACATCCCGCAGCGTGGTGACAGCCCTCTCCGTGATACAGCTGCTCAGCATGACGTCAGCTGGTCACGTGGTGATCCCCCTGGGTCTCTCCCACAGGAGGAGACTCCAGAGGTGGTTCATTCGCCTGCACATCGACCCCGTGCGTCAGAGGTAAATGTGCTGGAGCTGCTCTCCGTTTTGGGGAGTATTCCAGCACTTCGCCCCGTTGCTGTACAATCAAACATGTGTTGATTCGCACAGACAACAGGCCACGGCAGCCTACTCAATCGCCAGGGAGGAGTACGATCTGCGCAGCTTCTGAACGCAGCCAGGCGGCTGCTGTTCTGGGAGCGCACACACGTTGCTCTCCATCAGAGCAATGTATATTCCCGACGAATTGAACAGAGGGGCTCGCAGAGCGCAGGATCACCCCCCTCTGGGGGTAGACACGTTTGCACATCGGCCGTGGCCCAGGGTGCTGTTATACGGTTTTCCCACCAGTTCCGCTGACCCCTCGGTTCCTGGGCCGAGTGCGGGAGAAGCGGCTATCAGCGGTACTGATAGCCCCGGAGCGCACAGGTGCGTCCTGGTTTCCATGCCTACAGCGTACGCTGTCAGGCAGACCGTGGGAAATTCCGTGGTGCGGGGACGCTCTCTCCCAGGCGGAGGGAGCGATCAGCAGCCACCCAGCCGTTTTATGCGAGGAGTACGGAGACTCAGACCTGTGTCACGCACACTGGCGGGTCACGCGCACTTGCGCCTCAGTGGGATTTGGCTTTGGTGTTACGCGCACTAAGCAAAGCCCCATTTGAACCTTTAGATCAGGTTCCCCTTAAACTGTTATCAGCCAAAGTAGTAGGCTATTACTTTTGGCTCTATCAGCGAAAAAGGTGAGTGATTTGTCTGCTCTCTCTGTGGCTCCGTCATGTCTCCGGATCCAAGGAGATGGCAATTCAGCTGTTTTACGCCCTAACCCGGCTTTTATGCCAAAGGTCATCACGAGCTCTTTTAGGTCAAGAGTGATCACCTTGGATGGCTTCTTTCCTCCCCCTCACAGGTCGGAGGAGGAAGCCACATCTCATCTCCTCTGTTCCGTGCGCGCGCTGTCCTGCTATGTGGCGCGCACGGCTGCTTTATGCCGTTCCCAGCGCCTGGTTGTTACATATTACAGAGAGCGCTCATTCGGGCAGCCTCTGTCTGCACAACGGCTGTCACACTGGCTGTGTGAGGCTGTGTCGCAGGCATATGTCTCCTCTGGGGTGGATCCCCCGGAGAACATCAGTGCGCACTCCACCAGAGGAATTTCCTCCTCTACGGCTTTGCACGGAGGAATGTCAGTGGAAGACATTTGCACTGCTGCATCTTGGTCTTCCCCCTGTTCATTTATTCAATTGTATTTGAGGGATGTCTCCCATTCCTCTCTGACACACCCTGTAGGCTACTGAGTGTCTTGTCAGAGTGAGTGACGTCAGGGACCCAGCTGTGCGCCTCTCTCCTGCCTCTCGGCACGCGGAGAGCGGCCCTTTTTCCCTCTTATGAGAGGGATGTTTCCTTTTTTCCTCTGACACATTTTGTACGGAGTGTCTTTTCAGAGTGAGTGATGTCAGGGACCCAGCTGTGCACTCTCCTGCCTGTCTACACGAAGAGAGCTGCCCTTGTTCCCCGTCTTTTTGTCGCTGGGCAAAGTGTGACCTTAGACTCTACTTTTTCACTGCGGCAGGTTTGTATTGTTCCCAGCCTTCGTCCCCTCATGGAAGATATTCATGTTATGCTATATTCCAGGGACTGTAATTCGCATGGCGCAATAGGCATGGGTTATTATCTGAGCAGAGGCCTGTACTACGAAGCCGGATTTTCGTTTAGCCGGCTGACTTCAGGGAAAACTCGGGCTTTCCGGTCCTACGACACTGGTTCTCTTTTTAGCGGGCTAGATCTCCATGGTAACTTATACTGAGCGGCTAACCTCCTCGGGAGGAGGTTAGGTTGCAGGCTAAGAGATTAACTCAGTGAAAGCACCGCCTGCTGACCAATCAGAGCTCCGTGTGCGGAGTTTAAAGCTATCAAGTCATATTACAGGATAGAGGAAATACAGAAAAACTGCCGTTGCAGGAAAGACGGCCGGCAAAAATCAACTGACTGTGTGAACGTGAAAATTAATAGAATATCCCCTCCCATCTTCAGAGCAATCTGACTATTATAACATTAGCGTTAAGAAAGCTTACTTAAATATCTGCCACAACATAAGTAACCGGATCAGAGTAACATTAAGTACAGTCCCCGGCACTGTGAGTGCAGACGTCGATGTGTCCCATTATCATTCATATCATATCACATCATAATGTATCATATATTTCCTTATTTGAGTCAGCTTCTTGAGCCGTATCTGGCCGTGCAACACTCACAGTGTCACATACTGTATGCAGAAGTATTATTTTCAGCAACACATTAAGTTGACGAAACACTCGAGTCAAATGTAATTAAAGTCAGATCCACTCGTGTCTTGGACGGGGCAGTGATATCATAAAGCTGTTAATGTACGCATTCAAACGCTTTTTCTTTTACCAGCTGTATTCACCTTGCAGGTGCAGCTATGTGGCTTTTATCCTGGATAAAGTGTTTAAGTCATGGATGTTTAAAGTTTAACTTCTTCATATTTGACTAATATTAAAGTTCACTTTTCATTCAGGAAGTATGACGCTGCGCTGTCAGTACACTTGTCCATGTTTGAGATTGGTCGAATGCTCCAGATACCACCCCTTTCATGTGAACGCGCACCTAACTAGATAGGACACGGCTGGCTTGAGCGATCCACTTGATTACCAGCGTCGTAGTACAGCTTAGCGAGAGCGCGTATGTTTTGGATTGGGCCAACCGGCTAACTCAAACATATCCAGGTTAGGAAAATCCGGCTTCGTAGTACAGGCCTCAGGTGTGTCTGTGCTTCTAGTACCGGGCGTACCCAGTGGGGCGCAGACTACATCTTGCTTCGCCCTTAACCCAATAGCGATAGCCTTAGAGGGCGAAGCCATATACGAAATAGAACTGAAGTTACCTACTGTAACTCCAGCTTCTATGAGTATAGGCGTAGCCCTCTAAGTTCTGGGCCCCACTGGCTCCACGAATAGCTGAAGAAAAGTTGTTTGTGTGGGAGCAGATTGTCGGGCCTCCTTCCTATTTATACCGGAAGGGAGCCCGAGGGTGGGGCCCACCTCGTGGGTGGGCGTGGACTACAAGTGTTTCAGTGCTGCGCGGGTGCGCAGGGGATTACCCAATAGCGATAGCCTTAGAGGGCTACGCCTATACTCATAGAAGCTGGAGTTACAGTAGGAACTTCAGTTGTTGTTGTTGTTAGTTGGATGGTGATGATTCTAGCGAGAGAGATATGGATACAAAAACATTTGTTTTAAACCGCACACAGCTGATGCTGACAGCCCCGCTCCTGCCGCTCGCTTGCGGCAGACCACGCTTGAACGTTTGCCGGGGAGACGCCTGTACACGGCGTCTACGAGCAGCAATCTTTCAACAGCGATAGCTAAATGGGTGGCGGTGGCTACAGCTTGCAGGACAGTTAACATTGTGGAGGACGAGGGACTGTGAGATAATTCGGATCACATCCAACGTGTTGACTGCACATCACAGCGCATTATTTTGACCCTAGGTGGGAACTTCAGTCTCATGCTTTGACTGAAGATGAAGACAGAGGAGCGGCATTTCGCCAACAACTGTAAACAGGCTTATCTGTTTGAGCAACTGGCTCAGTGCAAAGAAGTACACAGGGTTGGGAGAGAGTGCAAGAGAGAGAGAGAGGTTCCAGATTGTTGTGTTGAGAATATTCAGGAGAATATTTGTCATTGTTCCAATGATAATAAACAAACATTTGCATAAAGCATATTTGTCCACTCACATGTTGATAAGAGTATTAAAAACCTGAAAAATATCCCTCTAAGGTACATTTAGAACAGATAAAAAATGTGCGATTAATTTGCGATTAATCGCGATTAACTATGGACATCATGCGATTAATCGCGATTAAATATTTTAATCGACTGACAGCCCAAATATATATATCTGATACCGTTATCAAATGTTTTAATACTTTTTCTACGAGTTAAACAATTCTATAGGATTGTTAGACTTTAAATGAATAGGGATATTAATTGTTTTATAACATTTTCTCAAACTGGAGACAGAGCCATATATGTATAGCATTTACACACTAAAATGAATCGTATTAAAAGGAAAGTCGGTGAAGTTAAAGTGAAGCTGTTCTGTATTTCATGCTGGCTCCACCATGACACTTAAAGCAGCCTGTCTCTGATCTGCCTGCTCTCTGTTGTCAGTCTGGTGTGCAGCAACGCGGCACGTTTCCGCCTGGCGGCCGGCCCCAAGAGAAAGCTGTTGGAACTGGGCCTCAGGAGGGCCCAGGGACCAGATGGAGGGCTCACCGCCTCACGATACACACACATTGGAGGTAGTGGTCTAAACAAATATCGATGCACTTAAGAATCGCTGTATTGATTGTGTTGCAGAAAGTTGCTTAATGAAATGAGAAATGCAAATCCCACAGTTCGCATTGCATAAAAAAGTTCCACTTATTATATAGTATGCTATTTTTGAATTTACTCGACAGAAAACAGTGTAAAGTTTTTAAAAAAGCAACATTTTGCCTTTCTTATAGTACTGCAATATATCTAATCCTAATCCCCCTCTCATGATATGTATCATATTGCCATATTCTTGTCTTTACTCAGCCCCAATTGTAGTATAGTAAATGTGGTATAGCCTGTCAAGCATGTCCTATTATAAATACTGTATGTCCAGGCCTTTTCCTCTGGGATGAATTACAGAAACGTACTGTCCCCATCAAAACATAGGTAGATGTAGGTGTTCTTACTGAGAGTAAGCACATGGGCCTGGATCTAATTAAAGAGTCTTCATCAGCCCCAGGAGCTGGGATCTTTTCAAAAGTATGATGCAACTTCACCTTCAGTATCACTGCAAGAATTTATAAGAATGTGTCACAGTGTTTCTTCACGTTATGAGTATGTCCTCATACTTGTGGTTACAAGAGCCAACACACATGACTCAGAAAGGAGATGACTTGCAGGGTTATTTTTCTTCTAAATGTTCCATAATGAACTTAATGTGTAACCTCAGGCCTGAATGTGTTCTGAATTTGCCTCTTGGTGCTGTTTACAGACCAACAGACTGACAGGTCTTTTTTTCAGGGTTTGATTTCACCAGTAACGTTCAGGCTGGTTTCCAGTATGGGGTCCCAGTTGCAGGGACCATGGCACACTCCTACGTCACGTCCTTTACCTCCCTGGAGGAAGTCTTGCCAAAAGTGAGTATGTGTTCTCTCCACACATTATTAGGGGTACGTTCCCTTTGAGTGACAGTTTGGGTGCTGTCCCATGCTAGCTAGCTACTCTGCTTACCCCTTCCTAGCATGTTGGACAACTACCGCACCCTTCAGGTAACATAAAAACACAAATGGTTCTTGGTTCCCTAAATCCTACACACTCAACCTTTTAAATAAAGACAAAAACAATCACACATTTAAAATTACACTAATTTAAGATTTAAAAACTCTTTAAATTATGAAGAAATTACATATATTGGAAGAAACATAACATTTTAATCACAGTGGCAAGCTGTTAAATCTTGATGATGCATCATGCTGTCATTGGTCTCCAAGGGGAGTCAACAGTGAAAAGGCCCGCATATATCAATATTCAAATGTTCTTGTCTCGTGTTTCGTCTCAGACTCTTGTGGCGGTGAACGGGGACTCCACTCCAGTGGACATCATTTTGTTGACAAAGGGCTGGTTGAGTCGTGTGTGTGAGCTCCTGGGATCACAGCCTGGGAAGATCCACGAGGGCGAGTTGGCGGCCTTTTTGTCCTACGCCATCGCCTACCCTCAGAACTTCCTCCCTGTGATTGACAGCTTCAGCGTCGGCTGGTAACTAGACATGTTACTTTTGATACTAGAGAGATATGTATGAAGGCTTTTATCGTTTGATTTCTGACAAACAACATATACTTTTCTGTAGGTTTACATAGTAATTGAGTATAGACCCGTGTCCTATGAGCACTTTCATTGCCTGAACCTTTGATTCATCTAGGCCAGTGTTTCTCAAACTTTTTCATACCAAGGACCACTTAACCAATAAAAAAACACTCGCGGACCACCTAACTCCCCAAATATCCAAAATCACATCGTTTTTCTAGAACAGATTACAAATCGCCTGCAAATGGTACAAACAAGTGGCAACATGTGTGATGAAGGTGTTGCGCTGGGCTATATCATGCAATTGAAATTGAAACGTAAGCTCGCTCCATTGCGGAGATATTCCCGCGAGAGTGCGGAAAACTCAAATTTATTTATTTCAAATGTGAAATTTTACCAATATACTCACGGACCACAAGGGGATGCTCACAGACCACCAGTGGTCCGCGGACCAGACTTTGAGAAGCACTGATCTAGGCCATCTTTGTCTTCCTGTCATTTAATAAAAAAAATAAGTCTTTCTTTCAAAGCCCAAAGAAATTCACAGTTACTATTTGTTGCACAATTGTGGATAATAATTCTAAATGCAGGTTTTTTTTACTCCAATGGTGTATTTTACATTGTGATAAGGGTTATTTTACTTTAAAGGATCAGAGTACTTCTGATGTTTTAAGTTCAAAACAATAGGCGCGTTCACACCGCAGTACTTTTCCCACTTTAGTTCCGATATAGTTCCGAAATGTCGCGTTCACACCAAAAAGAGCCGGAACTAAAATTAGTTCATGAGAACCTTTTTACCCCCTTTTCCGTGGGAGAAAAAGGTTCCTATTTCTGATTGGCTGGGCGGATTGCAAACCATGCCCCGTAAAACTCCCAAAAAGTTTTGTGAAGCCGCCATTTTATTATCCTTGCATTAGCATTATTAGCATTAGCATTAGCCCAGCGCACAAACGCAGAGAGACTAACTTATGGCAACACAAAAGAAAACATGGGAGCGGTGGAGATGAGGAGGTGTCGGCGTTCTGGCGATTTACTCGGAAGGCTTCAGTAGAAGCTGCTGGGACTCCCAGCAGCTTCTACTCCGGGGACTTCCGGCCGGGGACTTCGGGTGGCAGTATACGCCAGAGATGGAGTACTCGAGTCCTGGACTCGGACTCGAGTGCCGATTTTCGTGACTCGTGACTCGACTCGGACTCGCGCATTGATTGACGCGACTCGGACTTGGACTCGTGAATTCTCGCGCACGATGACTTGGACTCGGACTCGTACATTGACGCTCCGACTTGGACTCGGACTCGAGCAAGTTTTCTCTGGAGTCTGATGTCCTCTATCCCTGTGTGTGCACCTGCGAGGCGAGTTCACGTACTGGGCCCCGCTATTCCAGTCTAAAGATGTCTAGAGACACACCCCGCATCGTGCTGTATGCTTTCACACATTCTGCTTCCACATTGGAAAAGAGCAGCACAAAATGCTTGTTATGTGGAAAAAATATTGAAGAGAAGGCTCCATAACACATTACGCCTAAGGATCGAGTTCAGACATATAGGCTGTCTTGAACACTATCATCAGAGTAACGTGATCTAATCAATAAATAAAGATTCAGCCGATTACACGAAAGCACATGGCTACTTAACATACAGAATGACTTCATTTTGCATGCTAAGTAGCCATGTGCTTTCTGGGGATCAATCTTTATCGGTAAACCGATTTAACCGGTAAAAGTTCCTTCAAAATAAGAGTCCCGATCTTATTACTATCAAAATAAAAGTGCAAAACGAAAACTTTACCATAGGAAAATATTGGCATACAAATATAATCACTTCTCTAAAAGGTAACTCATTTTAAATATAGTTAGACATATTATAGGTAATTTACAATAATAATAATAATATTAATATTAGTAATAAGCTTTATATTTGTATAGCACCTATTACAAGAATTGTAGCCAAACTGGCTTCACAGCAGTTCAATAGACAGATTAGTATAACATGACAGGATAAAAGCAATGTAGAGGAGCAGCTACATTTCAACACATATATCCACGAAGATTAATACATGAAGACTTGTGACTCGGACTTGACTTGGACTCTTCTTAGGTGACTCGGACTTGGACTCGGACTCGAACACAGGTAATGATGACTCGGACTCGACACGGACACTCATTGGAGGACTCGGACTTGGACTCGGACTCGAACACAGGTAATGATGACTCGGACTCGGACTCGACTCGGACACTCCTTGGGTGACTCGGACTTGGACTCGGACTCGACTAGGACTCTCCATTGGTGACTCGGACTTGGACTCGGACTCGAAGAGTGTTGACTCGAGAGTGACTTGGAGTCGTGAATTGGTGACTTGACTACAACACTGGTATACGCCGTGAAGTTGTTTGCGGCTGTCACTGTGGGTGTTTCTCAATGTCGAGTACGCTTGCTTGGTAGCACATGTCTGCCGAGCATCTTGCTTCAGAAGCGAGGCAAGAATACTTCCTGGCATTCGGAAAACAAAGAGTGGAACAGGCTAGCAAGTGTGCAGGTGTGCGTAATATTAGAGGCCCAGCCTTACATTTTCCGCCACAGATTTGGGGAAATTGGTCCGTGCGCAAAGCATTGTGGGGATTTTAAGACCGCGGAGTCTACACATGTGCAGCCTCAAAATTTCTCCTAACGAAGTACGCCGGGCTCGGTAGATTTCCAAGTATGCTGGAGATTGGAACAGTACTTCGGCGGCACTCGATGACGTAGTATGCTTGAAATAGTGGCTCTGCAGCAGCTTTACTCGGGATTGAGAAACACCCTGTCACTACCCGATCTGTCCCCCTGCCCGATCTGTACTGCACATGTGCGAGATGGTCCGCCATATTGGACAACTCTGTACGGCAACCCAACTAGGACACTTGACACAGTGGCGTTTGGCAAAGCACACAAAGACAACTAAAAAAACCGAGAGAGATGAGTTATTGTTATTACAATGTCACTTCACTATTATTTAACAACTCTTTTTATTGGGTTCTTTTATTTGGGGTTAAATACATTGTCAGAATAAGTGAGAAATGGATTTAACTTCTGTTAGACAGCTATCATACTGAATAAATATTTACTGTGAAGGTATGCAACAATGTATGGCATATAGCTGTCTAACAGAAGTTAAATCCATTTCTCACTTATTCTGACAATGTACTTAACCCCAAATAAAAGAACCCAATAAAAAGAGTTGTTAAATAATAGTGAAGTCACGTTGTAATAACAATAACTCATCTCTCTCGGTTTTTGGAGTTTTCTTTGTGTGCTTTGCCAAACGCCACTGTGTCAAGTGTCCTAGTTGGGTTGCCGTACGGAGTTGTCCAATATGGCGGACCATCTCGCACATGCGCACTGCAGATCGGGTAGTGACAGCGGCCTGCTAGTAAACCCAAAGCAGAAGAAGAAGTGACGTCAGCGGCTTCATTTGCCTAATCCTCCCCCAGGGATTTATTCCGGTGTGAACGCGATCTGTACTTAGTTCATGAGAACTAAAGAGTTCTCATGAACTAAGTTCTGATGAACCTTTGTGGGAAAAGTACTGCGGTGTGAAAGCGCCTAATATAATTACAATAACATATCTGGCCTTGCACTAAAAACAATTTGAGGTAATCCTATTATTGATATCAGAACCAACCCAGTCTCACGGCATTTCGTGTAATAGTCACGAAATTAATTTAATCTATTGATTTGTGTTCACCAACACGATTTTCCCCTTTTTTTCGTGTCACACAGCACGATTTTAAAGTGTTTCGTGCCTGCACCACGTCTTTTTGTCCGATCGGGTCTTGGAAGCTGTGTGGTTCATAAAAACATTTTCTTACTCAATATCAAGCCACGATTATTGTTTTTAAAAAGAAATGGTATAATGTTGGACTTTTTTTTGCCGTCCGCGAGGAAATAAATGGGGCTCAGAGCCTCAGAATACTGAAATCTGTATTTTTTTTAAATCTTTTTTTCCTTCTAATTTGTTATTATTTACATTGTTTTTAAACTCGTGACGCGAAAAAAATTGGGAAATCGTGTTGGTGAACACGAATCAATAGATTAATTTCGTGACTATAACACGAAATGCCGTGAGACTGGGTTGTCAGAACAGCGTCGTTAAAGGTCCCATGACATGCTTTTCTTGTTATTACCCGTCCCCTTGTGTGTTATGTAGCTTTTTCTGCATGTAAACGGTTTGCAGAGTTACAAACCCTCAAAGTACACCCTGTAGCGAGTAACACTCTAACACAGAAAAGACCTGTCTAAGTCCACTGAGACAAATGTAACATTTGTGATATTGGGCTATATAAATACACATTGATTGATTGATTGATTGATTGATCTATGCTGCCCCAGAACGCCTCGTTGGAGATTTTTCTTTTTCAATTTTGTTCTTCTTGGGTATAGTGACGTATTGAGTATAGTGACGTAATGGCTTGCTCACACACACACACTCACTCAGCCTTATCTTTTCTCAGCTGCAGCTCCGCGGATTTCTCAACCTGAACTCAGCCTGAACTCAGCTTGAGACAGCGAGACACAGCGAAACTCAGCCTGAACTCAGTCTGAGCACACACACAAACTCACAGCCAGGCTACGAGTGTGTGTGTGTGCTCAGGCTGAGTTCAGGCTGAGTTTCGCTGTGACTCGTTGTCTCGCAGACCCCACGCAGCAACCAGGAAACGACACCAGTAAGCCAGCTCACACTGTCCGCTCCAGCAGCGAGCCCTGCAACGTCCCGCCAACACGGCACCCAGACCCCACGCAGCATTCTCATCTGTTTGTCATTGCTGGTGTCATTTTCTGGTTGCTAACGCCATTGTAACACATAATCACTGATGTTCCGCTGTAACGGTGGTGGACTCATCAGAACAGAGTGGGCGAGCTGACCAATCAGAGCACAGTGGGCTCATAGGGAGGGGGGGGGCAGAAGCTCCAACAAGGCGTGTAGGACAGAGAGTGAATACACATACTATACAGAGATGCTGTATGAGAAACCAATGTGATTTTGGAACATTGAACAATGTAAATCTATTCTAGTATACCTCAATAATGGAATTATGATCAGTAGAAATGGCCATGTCATGGGACCTTTAAGTGCTTGTTTTACCAGCAGGTGTCACTAGTGTCAAATCAGCTTTGCCCTAATGAATCTGTTATTAATATATTTTGGTGGTAATCATTTGACTATCTCTAATTGTGACAGCTCTGATGCTCAAATATACACAATGCACAATTCCAGCTAGTGCTGTTATCCTTTGTATACAAATAAATAACTGAATTGAAAATGTTAATAAATCAGAATTTCCCAGAAACCCTACTCATTTTATATTTCATGCTCATGTGATGAAATGTGTGTGTGTATCTGATTTCAGCAGTGGTCTGTTGAACTTCTGTGCTGTGGCCTTGGCGCTGTGTGAGTTGGACTACAAACCGCTCGGAGTCCGTCTGGACAGCGGAGATCTCTGCAGGCAGTCGCTGGAAGTCCGCCGTGTGTTCAGACTCTGCAGCGAGCAGTGAGTGAGGGGCCATGCCGAATGTGTGCATCTTTAAAACCTTGAATGGAATTAAACCTGATGTCTGTGTCTGCTTGTCTGTTGCTCCTTCAGTTTCTCCGTCTCTGCCTTCGACTCACTGACTATCGTCGGGACCAACAACATCACAGAGCAGAGCATGGCGGAGCTCAACGAGAAGGTAGGTTAACTGAACATGTGGATTGATTATGATGAACAAGCAAGGTTTTTCTTTCCCTTCCCCTGATGTTTTGTGTAACATTGTTTCAGGAGAATGAGATCGATGTGGTTGGTGTTGGAACACATCTGGTCACCTGCACACAACAACCCTCGCTGGGCTGTGTGTACAAGGTAATGCTTTTTTAATGTTTTATATGTTTGTATGTGCTATAATGGGGTGCCTTTTTTAATTTTCAGTGTACCTCATGCCATGACAAAAAAATATGATTTATATTTATATGGGAAAGGTCTCCTATTATGCAAAATGCAATTTTGTCTTTTATACATAAATATGTGTCCCCGCTCTTTTCTTCCGTACCCAAATCTCTAAAAACGGGGGTACAACTGAGCTGATCCAGATTTGCTGCCGATATGACATAATATCGGAAATGTGGGCTGGCTTTACGCCCACGGCCCTATTAGAAACGTCGCTATCAGAAACAATGCGCAACGTGTTTTGGAAATAATATGGTCTTTGTTTACATTAGCACATTTTGAACATGATATGGGGTTTAATCACGGCAGCATTTAGCTGAGTATCTGGGTAGAATTCTCCTGCATAAGCTCCCCCTCTTTTTTTTTTTTTAAAGCTACGGACCAGTGGTGGCTGGTGCATTTTTCTCCAGGGGGGGCTCTACCAAAATTCAAGCAAACTTATACACAAACTCAAAACATATGTCATATAACTGAGTCAAATTGGGTTATCTTCTGAAACTGATTCTTGTATTTTCTAGTTGGCCTCATGTGACATTCACTGTCACACCCATGTTTTATTTCAAGGCATGATAAGGCAACTGGAAGTCCCCAGGTGGAGGCCTAGTTTTGTGAAATATTTGGTCCTCATTACACATATCACTCATTGTCAATCCCCAGAAATATGCCTGCGTGGCAGAGCCAGGAGAGTGTGAGTGTCGCATTGTCAGCCCGCGTAAGATTGTGACGCCTGATGTAAAAGAGCATGTGAGGGCTGTCATGTGACTGTCACCTTCAACCTGACACCCCGCCGGAGGAGCCGTGTCACACACATTTTACGTTTTTTACAGAATATGAATACGAATACAACACCCTCTGTCCTTAGACCCTCACATCGGACAAGGAAAAACTTCCAAAGAAAACCCAGAGTTACGGCCCAGAGTTACGGCCCGTCCACACAGCGGCGTGCGTTGAAGCTTGCTCCATTTTTTGGAATATGAGGAAATGACCTGCGGTGTGTCTCTCCCAGCATACACGCGGTTTGATTGGCTGTACTGGCAGATTTGCATAAACGGGATTTGATTGGCTGACGCTTCCACCGAAGCTTCAGAAGCTTCAAAAGTTGAACATTTCTCAACTTTTGCAGCGAGCCATGCCAGCAAAGCTCCGCTTCGCTTCCCACAATGCAGTTTGGCGAAAAGTGACGTCACCCCATTCAAGTGAATGGTGAAGCTTTCAACGCTGTGTGGACGGGCCGTTAATGGGGGGAAATGGAAGAAACCTTGGGGAGAGCAACGGAGGAGGGATCCCTCTCCCAGGACAGACATGCAATAGATGTTGTGCATAAATTAAAAAGATAATACATCCAAATGCTTGAAAAATGCATACAATATATAAGAAGAAGATGAAGATGGATCCAGGGGGATGTCAACAATCCTCTGGGTGCCATTACAGAGGTAGTAATGTGAGCATCAGGCAGGACCACAGCAACAGGCACAGTTATCAAGGTTCAAGGTGGATTTATTTGTATAGCACATTTTAAGACACAGAGGCAATTCAAAGTTATTCACATAGGCATTCAACACATAATAATAAAAAACTAAACAAACACAATATCGAAAAAAAAAATAAAGACAATTCATAAAAGCGATAGAATACTGGCTGCAACTAAAAGTGCAATGATAAGGCACGGTTAAAGGATCTCAGGATAGGCTGCATTAAAAGAAAGGGGTTTAACCTTGATTTAAAAGAACCCAGTGCCTGTCCCCTGAGAAATACCTTACCCTTTTTGAACAACAACAAAACAGCAAACATTACACAGTTCATTCATTCCTTCAGCGTGGAACTGTAGATGCAGGGCAAGAGCTTCTTAAACCAGTTGCTTCTTCTCTCCTTTCTGGTGACCTGGCTCTCCAAACCTTCCAGCCGAGCGTTCAGGGAGCTCTGCGTCTCCTTCCACTCGTCCTCCTTCTCCTGAAGACTCTGCTGGAGGCTTTCTTTCTCCTGAAGGAGCGTTGACTTCTCCTCCTGCCACTGCCGATCCAGATTCTGCTTCATCCTTTCTTTGACCTGGAGCAGGGTTGACTTCAACCTCTGCCACTCCTGCTCTCTTTTCTTCAGATCCTTTATTTCGGTGTCTGTCTTGATGCGGTTGCTCTCCAGCTGCTGCTCTGCCTCCTTCAGAGCAGCCGATAGTTTGGTGTTTGCCTGTTTCTCTTCTTGGAGCTGGGCAGCATATTCAGCATTCAGACATTCAGACTTCTTTAGAGCAGCAGTGAGGTTAGTAATCTCTCCCTCCTGCAGCTTTGTTTTCTCCCGGTTTTCTTGGAGGTAATCGAGAAAGTTAGCCAGCAGGTCCTCCTGAATGTCCAGGTGGACTCTGCCCTCAGACTTCCCCGGTCTCAGCCTCGCCTCACTGTCCTTCAGCTCACAGCGGACCTGGTCTTCCAGGAAGCTGAGGTAGAAGTTTATCGGAGGTTCAACCTCTCTGGAAATGAAATCCATGTCTCCCACATTTGTGTTTGCCAGCCTCAGGGTTTATCTCCCCTGTGTCTTTTGTTTCTGTTGCAATCTGCACTTTGTGTAGCAAAGTTAAACTTGCTCTGAACCAACTGTCTGGAACTGTCTGCCTTTGAAAAAAATGTATAAAATTAAAGTATTTTTTAATGACAATCTAGAATGTGGGAAGAGGTGGGGCGGCGCCCCTAGCACTGATTTATCTTATGTTAACATTTGTATGATGCCATTTTATTGTCTGTACGTTAGCTGGTGGAGGTGAGGGCTAGTCCCAGGATGAAGATTAGCGAGGACCCAGAGAAGAGCACTGTCCCTGGGAGGAAAGCTGTCTACAGGCTGATAGATGCTGAGGGTGAGGACTCATCCACCCACTTATTTCTCTCTGCATTCTAACCATCTTACTAGTTTTGGCTGCTTGTGCCATCACAAGAGCTACGGCAGGGCAATTTCAGTAACGGGGCTCTTCATGCTGACAAGATGTGGTTGATACCATAACACGATCATGTAGCCCTCTGAGGGCTCTATTGTATTTGGTTTTTGCAATCTTGACCATCAATAATGATTATCTATATTTTTTCTTGATTGTTTATTATACTTTGAGAAAATGATGTACCCACACATAAGGCTCATCTTAGCATGTACATGGGCTGTTGCATAAAGCATCCCCTTTGAGTGCATTTTGTAAGATTAACAATATATTATAGGTAAAATATGACACTTAAAAAAAAAGAAAAATGGTCGATGAACAGCATCACTTAGCAGCAGTAGATCAATACACTTTACACCCGCTGAAAACCTGTCTGCTGGGTAAACAGTCGGAATAGTGAGCTAGCTAGCTTTCTAATAGATTGTTGCCATAGCAAAAGGTCACCTCATTGTTTAGCCAGGGGGAGAGGTGTCTGACTATGCTACTCCATATAAGGTTAGTCTTAATATTTATGAAACAGACTTTACTAGACTAGCCTAATCTAAAACCAGTTTAAGGCAACTGGCCCAAGGTCACACCAATTAAAGTTGATCCATGTTGTTTGCATTTGGCTGAACTGAGATTTGGCATCATATAAACCTTTTGCCTTGGGTAAAACAATGGCCACCCTCATAACAGTGTATTTTCTTCCCAAATGGAAAATCTGTTAGAGTAGAAATGTTTGATGTGACAAACAGTACACTGAGCTCCTCTGTGTGTAACTTTCACAGCTCTCTTTCTTCCCTTGCAGGCCATGCTTTTCTGGACCTGGTGTGTCTGGTAGCGGAGGCTCCTCCTGAGGCAGGGGTCTCTGTGAGCTGTTACCCTCTGAGCTGCGACACGTCCTGTGTGTCAGTCATTCCCGCTCAGGTCATCTGTCTGCGCCAGGACATGTTCACCAAAGGACAGGTGAGGATGCTCAAAGTCTGAAATCCTTACAACATAACTGACATTTATAATATATATATATATATATATATACTGTTTCAGGATTCTTTTGGTTGTTGTTCTTTCTTTCTCATCATCACATCCATATTGCTATTCATTTTTTCAACACAGTGTGTTGAGTTCTACACCAGAGGTGGACGAGGAGTCTGTATACACAGAGCATTAGCTCCATTGTGGACTTATTTCAGTAGTAAGAAGTATCTTGTTGCGAGACCAAACATGTTTTTATCATGTTTTGGGACCTTGAAGTCTTAAAGGGGCCTGTTTGCATAGTGAGGAATTGTACTTTTGATACTTTAACTACATTGCGTTGGTAAGAATGGTTTTAATTCACTGCAAGTACTGCAAATAATTACAATTTTGAGGTCCTTCCACTTTCCTTGAGTAGTTTTGATTTATGCAACGGTATACTCTTACTCCATTACATTTTAGAAGCCAACTTTTACTTTACTTATTTGACAGATACAGATTATTATCTAAAACAAAATATAAACCCCTAATAAAATGGTTAATAAATATCCAGCAGCAGTTTATGAAGCAAGTCAAATTAGCTCTAACGTTGCCAACTGTGAGGAACACATTAATCCATCAATAATAATAATGCAGTACTTTAATATACGATATATGATGGGCCATTTTCCATAATGACTACTTTAACTTTTGGGAAATTAAAGATATGTTGCTTATACTTTTACTTAAGTAAGATTTACTTGTCACAGAGTATTTAAAAAATATGTTATAGGTATGTTTACTCAATTAAAAGACCTGAGTACCCTTTCCACCACTGGTGCTGAAGGATCTGATAACTTCTCTCACTGCTTGATATACTGATGTCTTGGACAGCTGAGCCCCTCTGGACTTCATGGGGATGACACACCCAAAAAGTGGGCGATGTGTATTCTTCCCCGTCTGTCTTTCTCTCTATGCTTAACCACATCAGAGAGCAGCCAGTTTAGGGACATTTTTCTAGGTTTTTAGAGAGGTACTGTGGGAAAGTAATAAAAAGGCACATACACAGTCATGTACTTGATTAAAAACAATCAAAGGAACAGGCATTTCAAACAAAGAGAAAGCACAGGTAATAAAATGACATCAATGACATCTATTATACTCCCTTACAAACATTAATTGTTAAAAATAGAGATTTGATAACTATTTGATATGATAAAGTATGTTTTAGAAGTCATTGAACAGCACAAAACAAGATGATATTGCTGCGTAGGAGTTAAGTCTTCATGATTGTGTCTCCCACTCTTTAGGTCACACAGCCTCTGTGCAACGCTACAGAAACTAGAGCAAAGGTCCAGAGCTCCCTCCAGACTCTGCACCCTCGACACAAGAGGCTGCAGGAGCCAGACTCTTACACAGTGAGCTTCACACACTGAGAACAATCTTTCTCAGACCTCCTCACAGATACAGAATGCTAAATAAGTCCTATCTTATCTTTGGCTTTCTCTCCCTCCAGGTGGCACTGTCAGAGAAGCTCCATACCCTGGTCACAGAGATCCGAGAAGGAAGCTCCAACAACAGCAACTTTCTGTTATCCAACTAAAAAGACAACTGCTTTGTTTTCATCTCCTGTTGTTATTCTAAACATTCTTTTTCCAAAGTAACTGAAATTAAAACAGAGCATACTTTGTAGGAGATGCAAAGCATAACAGTATTAACACTATCCTTTCCAAATACAGGAATACACGAATGTTTTAAACAACAGGGTAAAAATGAACAGAAGTCCAACATATTTGTTTACTTGATAGCTCAGTAGGGACAGGTGGAAGAACATTTTCAAGGGGCCCTATTGTGCTTTTTAGGATTTCCCCTTCCTGTAGTGTCTTATATAGATTTGTGTTCTCTCCCCTGAATGAAACACCTTCATTTGGACTCCTTTGTTAACTCCGTAACATAGTGACATCACTACTCACGCTGCTATTGGCAAGCGCTCCAACATATTGTATGTGATAGGCTAAGGGGCGGAACATCTCTAAGCAGTTGACCAATCAGAACAGAGCATGCTAACTAACCAATCAGAGCAGACTGGGCTCTTGTTTCAGACAGAGGGTGAAAAGAGGTGCTGCAGCACAGCAGTATGAGAAAAAAATAAAGAGCTTCTGAACATTAAAGCATGGAGACATGTCTCAGTAAAGGCACAACATACAATTATGAAACATAAAAAGTGCATAATAGACCCTTAAACCAACCATTTTACTTTATTATTTTTTATTATGCTGGAAATTGTTTTTATGTTTTCAACAAGTTTAAATGGATGGATAATGAAACTTTGGGGAACCGTCAGTCACACATGCTATGTTCACACATCAATGTGGATAACATTATAAGCTAATGGTCTTTTGACCTATTATCCCTCGATATATTTATGGTTTGAGTCTGGGATAAACATTTATGAAGTCTCCCTGTTAAAAATGTTAAGAAAAATGAGCGTGCTAATTATCTCAAATTGATCAAAAAAGTAACCTAAATATATTCCTAAAAAAGGTTTATTCACATCAATAATAAGAGTTAAACATTCTTAACCTAAAAAATAAAAAATAAATCTTTAGAAGAAGATGAAGAAGATTCAACTTATTGTCATTACGTAGTACAGGTACTATGTAACGAAACGATTTCTCTGCATTTGACCCATCCTAGTGTTAGGAGCAGTGGGCTGCCATTATGTACGGCGCCCGGGGACTTTATTTACCTCTGGATAAAGGTAGTACATTTGCTGTCATCCATCAGTTATTGCTGTGAACATTGGGAGTAAAAGTGCCCATATTTAAAATGTTGAATGAGTTGCAGGACAAAAAATATAGATATGTTATTTACTCGTGAAGTAACTCTTGAATCATGTATGTGAACCAAGAAAGAAACTACAGATTGACCCTTTAATATAAATGTTTTTATAGTTAGCAGGCGCAGTATACAAGTCAAACAGTATTTGTATACTGTCTTTAATTTCTCAGACAAATCTTGTACTTTTCATTTTTATTACCTTGTCAACATGTCTCTGGGGATCATCTATTTAACCTAACGTTGGATATAATCAGCAAACAACTATACACTGCCTGCTCAGCAGCATCAGCAGGCTAATGGAGTTAGAGGCTAGCAGGTGAACATATTGCAGCATCCAGGGGAAATAAAGTTACTTTTCTCAGGACCTGGTGGGAACCAAAATAAGTCAAAGAAGATTAAAAGCTGCACATATATTTATCGGGTTGACAAAAACACAACTGCAATGCGATGTTAAAGTTGCTGTTCTGTAAATAGCATAGGTAAATACGCAGTTTGCTAACACAATTACCAGAACCACCTTATAATATGTCAGTGCTATGTTTTTCAGCTTTTGTATGCCCTCTAGTGACTAAAAAAAGTATTAATGCAACTTTACCTTCTGACAATATTTTGTATTTGACAATTCTTTTAATACCAAATCAAACAAAACTTATGTGTATTTTTGTTTCGTACATCATTTTTTATTAAAGCCACTAAATATAGAATTGTATCTTGGTCTGTAAATATCTGTGCAAACTATTTGGGATTAAAGAAAGATGTATGAAGATTTCATTTCATTTTTTTACACTGCTACTTGAAAAAAAAAAAAAACATTTTACCTGCATTTCTTCATACAATTTTTTTTTAACCGGAATATCTCCGTAGAAACATTTCTACCATCACATGTTATTTCTACAGATAATGGTTTTGAACTTTATTCCTCACATATACCTTGGCTTGGCCCTAAACGGTTATTTTTTAAACAAATTATTTCCTCTGCAGAGGCGCGAGAGACCAGGAGGAAAAATGGTTATGGAAAAAAAATAAAAGAATCATAATTAGAAAAATTCTCTGTGTTTCATTAAAGCTCGGCTCTGTGTTGGTGTGGAACGAGCCATTTTGTGTGCGTGCGCGGGCGAGAGAGAGAGCGCACCGGTACCGGAGATCGTTGTTGTTAGCTTCTGGTGCTAGCGAGCTACACTAACGGATATAAGGAGCTTTTTCAACAACAAAGTGGAGGAGAGTTCTCTCCTGTCAGACTGAGAGACTCAGTGAACTAAAGGACTCTCTGAGTGTTTAGATAGTTAACTTAAGTCTAAGTTATCTCAGTGGGTCTCAAACGGTTTGGTCACGATTAATGTAAACCATTATTTCCGAGGCACACGTTTATATGATCATTATAGTTATAAAAAAATAAGAGAATAAATGAAAAACAGGTATGAAATACTATATGACAGTAAAACAAGAATAAAGTTTAAAAGTAAATCTGTTTACAGATCTGTTTCATATGGATGTTGAGAGATGTATCCATAGATCTCCTAATTTTGTGCACCAGATTGATGCTTTTAACTTCAATATTTAAAACAAAATGTTCCCGGGGGAGCTTGCCCCCGGACCCCCCTATGTTAGGTCCACTCCACACTTGTTAAAATAGCACTTTACCTCTGCTTACACCTATATGCCGTGAGCTGATTATCGAGCCTTCATTGTAACAGTCGCGGGTACATTGTGTATATGCGTGGGGATTGTTGCAGTATAAAATTCCACTGTAGCGACCGGTACATTAATGGGAAACCCTAAATGTTTGACCACCCTCTATGAAACGTAAAGCTACCCCACAGCACCCCCAAAATAAATCTCTGGCGCCGGCGCTGAGCCTGCAACCCCGTTTTGAAGAAATGTGCAGTGCAAAACAGGCTCATTGCAGCCACTAATGCTGTGATAAGACACACTTTTTTGCCAAATATCAGCATTTTCTTTCTTTTCATTTCATTTTTGACCACACAGACTTATGGAGCATTGTTTTATTATCACTGTGCAAAGTGTTTTTTATTTTATTTTTTTAAAGGAATGCTCACGTTCATATTGATGTATTTTATTAAATGTTAACCTGGCCAATTACATGACTATTTGTGTTGGGGGGGCCCGACTTTTTTTTTTCTCCAAAGGGGGGGCCTGACAGAAAAAGTTTGAGAACCACTGACCTAGCCCAACAAAGGAAAAAAGGAAACCCAACTTCCCGTAGTATCACTGTTTGCTTGCATAGTGAACGTTTTATTGCTGCAGCTGATGAGTGTGTGACATGCCGGTGACCTTTGTCATTGAACCCCACTTGACCTCCTGACCCGCCTCCTCCCCCGCTGGGTCTACTTTCATCCGCTGCCGCTGCAGCTCTCCTGGAGACCCGCGGAGGTCGCTCTTGCTCCCTGTCTCTCCCTCGCTGGCTCTCTGCTACAACTCCCTCTCCGCTCCCCTCCCTCATCCTCCTTCAGATCAGATATAACAGCACAGAAGAGGAAAAACTCTGATCAAGCTTTTCCGGTCTGCAAGCCCTAATTTCCTCTCAAGACCTCTCCGGCGGTGGAGCGGAGCAGAAGGCGGAGGCACTGAGAGGGAGAAAGTGGGGGATATTACCGCGTATCCTACCGCCACAAGCCCGCGCCTCTACGGTTCCTCCCGAGTAGTATAATGCACCCTGTCCTCGGTGAATTGTGCCCGGGAAAGAGGAGTGTGTGAGGGGGGAACAGAGCAGAATGGTTCGGCGGACAGGAGCGCAGTCGCTCCGTCTCCGTGAAGCCGCCACAGAGCGCCCGCTGATGCCCGTCCTCCTCTCCGCCGTCCGGCTGCACTCACCTCCGGGTGTCTCTCCGACATGTCATTACATAACTCGGCGCCACTCGACTTAGTTTCCCCCAAACGCCAGGAGTATTTTTGGGAGAGACTCGTTGCTAGCCCCAGCAGTGGGTTTGAATCCGGTCTGTGGTGGGTTTTCTGTCGTGGACTGAAGGCTCAGCACCTAAGGGGTTGAAACCTGAGTCCAGCGGTGATGAGAGCTCACTCCGAGAGGGTTTCAGTGGTGTGCTGCCAGAAGCATCTGGAAAGGATAACACTGGGATACACTCCCCCTCCAGAGGACCAGAGGATCATTCACATCCCAGACATTTTCGAGTACAGCTCTAAGTGTCTTTCAGCTTGTGTTTAATTACCTCTGCCACAGGTTTAAGTTCATGAAATAATCCTGAGGGTCCCTCGGAGCTATGCAGTGAAGATGTGTGCAGCCAGGTTCAATGGCTGTGCCGAGGAGGCCTCCGGTCCGGTCACAGCCTCCAGGATGCTGGACTGGACAGAGGCCGGGCCCCGCATCCTCCACAGCCTGGAGATGGGGACAGTGATGACTGTCTTCTACCAGAAGAAGTCCCAGAAGCCCGAGAGGAGAACCTTCCAGATAAGGCAGGACATGCGACAGATAGTGTGGAGCAGAAACCCCGACAAAATAGAAGGAGAGGGTGAGTATTGATATGAAAAGTCTTCCCACCGGGTTCATTGTCAGTCCATGAATAGAAGAGAATGTATTAACTATACATTATGTGCCTCAGTCACACTGCATACACCTCTTTGCCGGGCAGATACAGAATCAGAAGAGGCTGAAGTATCTGAGAAAATGCTGACAAACACAGAAACAGACACTTGGATCAGTCTCTTCTTCTTTGTCCAGCTTTCAAAGCTGTGCTTTCCAAACTTGTTTTGTTGATTTAATCCAATTTGTTTTTCCACAAAAAAATCAGTGCTCTTTGTTTTTTGGAAATAGTTGTTCAGCATGAAAAAAGCATTGAGAAGTTACTTGTCCAAAGATAGTTGTATCTTCTTGGTCGAATGCACTTATTGTAAGTCGCTTTGGATAAAAGCGTCAGCTAAATGCAATGTAATTTCAATTTATTAGCCGCTAATCGACTATGAAGTTGTAGCCTTATTTTTAGGTGTCACTAAATGTACATTACCAAATACATAATTACTCACTTCCTATTATAGAACTTTACAGAACATTTACTTATGTGCTGAGATTTCTAGTTATTGATCCCTGAAAAAGAGGTGAATGGAATTATATTTGTGGTGGACAATTACATTTTGAGAAAGTAAGTAAAGTTATTTTCTGGTGTTTGAAGATTATCTACAGACCTCAAAATTAACAGCTTTTATCAGGACTATCTTTCGTTAGAATAATTGTTGTGCTAAAAACTGTACAAATTAAGGTTTGTGGAACATTTAGAGCAGTGGTTCTCAAACGGGGGTACGTGGACCCCTTTGAGATTTATTTTATGTTAATGAAAAAAACCAACATAAGTAATGCATTTAAACAAACTACTAATAGTAGATTAACTACTTCATTCAAAAGTTTACAGTAATTCTGGATAATAAAATGGGAAAAATAAACGGGGTGCTCTCTTTTCCTCTCTCTCTCCTGACAGCCCGTCAGTCTCGTACAGCTCGCTGAACCTGTAATAAGCCGACAGTAAAGAATAAATATATGTAAACTAGTTTATCTAGTTCCAGAGTAGATAAACTAGCTAAGTTTGCGGGGGAGCTGTGATCCGGAAGAGCTGCGTGTTTTCCGTCAGCAGCAGCTGATCTGATCTCTGATCTCTCTCTCGCGTCCGGTTATACTTCAGTCGCGTTTATGTCCAAATCTATCAGATCTGGCTAGTTCTAGTTAATGATATATCACGCCTGCTTATCAAAGAACCTAAACTATAACGGCCCGTCCACACAGCGGCGTGCGTTGAAGCTTGCCCGGGGGGGGCTGAAACTCGACCAACAACCAATCACATGAATCTCCCGCCCCGGACACACAAGCATGCAGTTTGATTGGCTAGAGCTTGTACTGGCATATGATTCGATTGGCTGACGCTTCCGCCGAAGCTTCAAAAGTTGAACATTGCTCAACTTTTGCAGCGAGCAACGCGAGCAAAGCTACGCTTCGCTCCCACAATGCAGTTCGGCGAAGCGTGACGTCACCCCATTCAAAGTGAATGGGCAGAAGCGTTGAAGCTTCAACGCACGCCGCTGTGTGGACGGGCCGCAAGCGTTGCTTGGCAACGACGTGTGGCCGCAAAGTATAGCGCAGCATAGAGTGCCACAATCATAAATCTATCGATCATAAATCTATCGATTACATTTATGATTAAAAAATTATAAAAATAGGGTAGACATGTGGAGATTATCCGACTGAACAAAACGTGATCCGTCTCTTAAATGTGTGTCAACCACAGACCTTATTTTGAGCTATTTTCCAAATTCTATGGAGAAATCCCATTGCTTTTTTGTCGAAGGAACCCATGTGCAGCTTACTTCCGGGCTTTAGGAAGCGTCACTGTGGCACTCTATTATGCATATGTTTATATGAGGGGTCAAAATCCCATGCTCATAAAATGCTCATATATTTGTTTCTCTTCATTCCCCACGCCTCAAAATAAATAAATAAATATACCAATTTTAGGAAAAGTATTGAAGTTTGAGCAGAGTGGGTTTTATATTAACAGAGTTACACATATTTAGTGTAATAACTGCAGTTTGCCTCATGATCCTCAGTGAAGCACAAGCCCATGTTTCTCACTAAATTGTAAGTACAACTTATTAAAAAGATCAGTTCAATGTCGTCTTAGTGTTATTGCATGATGTTGAAATTGGTTTGCCATGAATTTAGTGATGGATTGTAAACATTTGAAATGTAGCATTTAAGTGTTTCTCAGTTACAAGGTTGTTGTTTTAATGATTCAGACACTGATGGTGCAGCGCTGTACTCTCCCTCTTTATATAGGCTTTTCTTCCCTAACACATTGTTTCTGCGCTGATCAGGGGGTACTAGGCTGAATTTCTTTTTCAAAGGGGGTACATTATTGAGAAAAGTTTGAGAACCACTGATTTAGAGTAACGTTTAGATGAAGACTATGGCGTGTGGTTGAAAGCTTCAGAAAAGAACTATTACGGACCGTCCACACAGCAGCGTTAAAAAATCTTGAAACGCTTCTGCCCATTCACTTTGAATGGGGTGACGTCACTTTGCCTCACTTTTCGCCAAACTGCATTGTGGGCAGGCGAGCGGAGATTTTCAGGATTTTCAGGATTCAAAGTTGAGCAATGTTCAACTTTTGAAGCTGAGGTGGAAGCGTCAGCCAATCAAATCCCGTGTATGCAAATCTGACAGTTCAAGCGCTAGCCAATCAAACCGCGTGTATGCTGGGAGAGACATACCGCAGGTCATTTCCTCATATTCCAAAAAATGGAGGAGAAATTAGCGGTAGGGAATCACCCGGTGCTTTATGACCAGTCCCTATTTACCTACCGGGATATAAACCGGAGGAGCCAGGCATGGAGGGAGGTGGCAGAGACAGTGGTAGGTTTTCGCCTGTTTGGGGAGTTTATATCCAGTTTACTTCAAACTTTTTTGCTTCGTATGTCGGGGGCGGGAGATTCATGTGATTGGTTGTTGGTGCCTTGCTCGCAAAAAATCCCCAAGCTTCAGATACGCCCACCTCCAAGATTTTTTTTAACGCTGCTGTGTGGACGGTCCGTTACAGTAAGTAGCTCTTGATTCAAAACAATTTTTTTTGTCAAAATGCAATTCTGAACATCAACATTTTCCCAATCAAAAAAAGGCCTGACAGGCAGGTATCATATTAGCGTTAGTATTGAAAAAATCGGCATGCCTTCTTTGGTTTGGTGCAAGAATATCACTGTATTTGAGATGATGCTGCTGTAGGCCATCCTTTTCCAGCCCCCCCCCCATTCCCCATCCTGACCCCAACGTGCAGCTGCGGCGCTGTCATGGCTGCCTCAGCAGACAGCCGCATCCCGACTCTGTGACCTCTGCTTCCTCCATGTCTCCACTCACTCTCCAGACAGAGAATCTAGCATGCTGCTGCCACATGGACCCTGAGTCCTCGCTGCTGGACTGGAGTCAAGTGGCAGAGAATACTTCGAGCTGCAGGCTGTTGTTGTGCTGGTGATCGGCCCGTTGGAGCGCTGCCTGTCTGGGGTGTGGAGGCTATTGTCTCCGTCCAGGATTTTGTGGCCTGGGGGAGGATTTGTTACAGTGTCCGTTAGCACAAACTTATGGCATTCACAACTGGCATGATAGAGTTTCCTTCTGTCTGCCATGTGTTATTCTCCGACTTTACTGTAGAATAAGAAATAGACTCCTCCCCTGCGAGATAGGAATAGGTTTACTGCTGCCAGGTTTGTTTTTCCATCACCTAACTACAGTTGGTTCTTTCTGCAGTAAAAAAAAAAAAATACTATAACGAAAACCCAACCATAACAAAAAACTGAAAATACAGAAGTAAAAAAAGAAGTGAACTCAAGACAAATTAATTTCCTGGTGATACGAACTGATACAGTACATACAAAACGTATTGTTGCCTGTTTTAAGATGACTAAACTCTGTTATACTACCGTAGCCTGTATCTTATGCTGAGTCATCAATTGTGCATAACTCACCAGTGCATCCGAAATATCAACTGTACTACATCAGTGAAGGAAATCACAATGTTTAAATGTAATTGTTAGCCCATTAGCCAACATCATCAACGGGTCATCCATTTCAGTAACACAGCATGCCTAAAATTAGCAACAACTCACGTGTCTAGCCGGATTCATCTTTCTGTCCTCTGGAAACATGTTTTGGTTTCAGTTCCATTTTGTTCTTGGAAACCATTTTTATTTTCAGGTTTTTAAATGTCCAATGTGTTTCTGTATGTGAAGAGGGGTTCTTAAGGTGCACCATGTATTTGTCTTTGCAGTGTTTTATTTATTTTTTGCAGTGCGTATTTATATTAGCAGTGCGTTACTGTATTCAAAGCGTGGTTCAGGTTGTGGGTTTTTTTGAAGGTTTTTTTTGTAGTGCGTATTCATATTTCAAAGCGTTACTGTATTTTAGGCGTGTTTTAAATTTGCAGTGTTTTTTTAAAGTTGCATTGCGTTACTGCTTTTTAAAGCATGTGCAGTGCGAATGTGTATCTGCATTGTTTATATTTTTTTGCAGCAGGTTTTTTTTAATCTGCAGTGCGTATTTATATTTGTAGTGTGTTTCTGCATTTTAAGGCTGTGTTTATATTTGCATTGCATTTTTAAATTTGCATTGCGTGACTTGAAGCTGTAGTACTGTATCTGCATCGCATCTCTATTTGCAGTGTTTCTAACATTTCCAGAAGATTGCAGCGCATGTGAGAGGAAGTTGTTTTCTTAAATGACTTGTGTATGTGTTTTGCATGTGTTACAGTGCTCTCAACTCTCAGGGCCACTGCAGTTTCCTCTTCTTTTCCCTCTCCAGTAATCCCAACCCCCTATCATTCTACGAAAGCTCCGAGAGTAATGGCAGCTGAACACATGTAGCTGTTGTTTCTGCTCGGGGAACCTTGTCAATTATTTATCCATAATCATAAACCGCATAAACGGCGCCTTGGCTAATCCAAGAACAACAACTACGAGTCTGAGCGTGCAGGACGCCCTG